AAGGGAAAGAGTAAATCTTAGGAAGAAAGAGTTAAGGTGAACCCACTCAGAATCTTTGTGATGTCATACCAAGAGTATTAGCAGAATCAGTAGCAATCCTAATAAAAAATACTAGCACCATTTAAAACAATAAATTCCTAATAAAATATGCAGTATTTTTATATTTAGGAAAATGTGTCCCCAGATCTTGGTTTCTAAATATTATTCCTCTCTAAATGGAACCAGAGCTCTGTAGAGTAACAGCCTATTCCAAGGCTGACGAGGAAAAGTAAAAAAGCATAGAACATAAATTATTTGTACCAGGAAAGAGGAGGTGCTCAAGGATTGATAGGAAGTAACTCCACCAAAAATGCCCGAGTAGGGAAATGGAGGGCTCTGTGCCCACCGAGTGAAAAACGATCAAGCTGGCAACTCTCACAGAACTCTAGAATCTAGACCAAAATTTGCCACCACAGCGGGAGGCTTGGCGAAAAGGAGGGCACAGCACAGAGAGAGCTGTGACCTGTTTAAAGCGCCCACTTGCTGTCATCTGCGCAGCTCAGATCAGTGGCCGAATGGATGACAGTGTGTGCTCCAGGCACGGGTGGCTGGCCTGGGGAGGATGGCGGACCTTGTTCTCAAGAACTTGTGGCTGTAGGTTTCCCTATTGGGCCGCTATCTGTCAGACTGTCGCAAGGCTTGCCCTGTGCTTCCTTGACTCAGAGAAGTCATGGGCCTGGGGTGGCTTCCTGGATGGCTTGTGCCAAAAGCCTTTAAAGGCACAAGTATTGGCTGCAGCAACCTGGGGCAAGGAATGGCAGTCAGGGTGAGCAGACATACCGAGAAGCCTGGGAAGGAAGAGGGTGAAAAAGATGTGTGTGGGAGTAAAGGATTTTCAGAGCGTCCATGTGTACCAGGGAGTCATGTGTGCCCAGGGTGGGACAGAGGCTCAGAGAAACCCTGAGAAGGCCCTACACTGCCCCCTTGGACTGGCCTCCTGGAAGCTGAAGTGAAGGCAAAGGCAGCCCAGCCACCAGCTCGCTGGGTGTCGAAGGAGCACCCCGCACAGAGCCCGTCTGCAGAGACGGGGAACAGGTTTTTTTCTTTTTCTTTATTCTTTTTTCGGCTCCAGGTGTTTAAGGAAATTCCAGCAAAACACACCTGACCTCTGAGCTAATGGAACAAAGAATTCATTGGCCACACATGCCAGAATATAGACTTACAAAAATAGAAAAGTCAATTAGAAAGCAAACCATGAGAACCCGCAACAAACAACAAACACCGTGGGGCAGGAGGGAGAGTCTGATTTCCAGAGTTGTCACATTATAATGTTTAACATGTCCAGTTTTCAGCAAAAAAGTGTAAAACATCCAAAGAAACAAAGTATGACCCACTCACAGGGAAAAGAAAAGAAGAGAAGCCCTCCGCACGAGCCCCCAGTGTCTGGCTGCCAGGGGTGGCCCCCACCGGCTGGACTGAGGGGCCACTCTCCGTGGGCAGTTACTGGAGACTAAATTAACTGCAAACTGCGAATCTGCAAGGCTTTGGAGGGGAGCCTGGTATGTCCATTCCAAAGGGCACCTCTGAGAACTAATGTGGGGAAAGTCAAGAAAGTTGTGAAAAGCAGAAAAGGGACTTGCTCTTCAATATAGGGGAAAGCATTACAAAGCAAGAGCAATTAAGGCATGATATTATTTAGCACAATTGAAAAATAGTTCAGTAAAACAGGAAAAAACCCCAGCAGAATCAGCGTACTTCCAAGCTATCAGTCAGGACTGAGACCGCCAATAAGAGAAAACCCCGTATACCCACGCCACTGGCAGCTCCAGGGTCAAAACAGACCACGGTCTATGATTATCCACCGTTACAAAAACCCCAGCAAGGACCCCGCAGACTCTCAGTGACCTCTCTCAGATCAAGTGTCCGTCGCAGGAACAACACTGGGCCCAAAGGACGGGAGCAATGGTTGGCCCACCAGGGATGTGCCACCTCTGGGGTCTCAGCTTCTCTTTCTGGAAGGATCAGGGGAAGAGAGCTGAGCAGACAAAAAGCAAAGCCACTCCAAGTGATAAGTGAGTCAGCGATCTGTAGCTAACACTTCTGAATTGCATCATTAAAAAAAATAGACACCTCTGCCTCTTTAAGGTGCCTTATAGCTCCAAGTAACAGAAAATCTCAGCTCCAACAGGCTTAAAACCATATGGGAAATGAACGCCCTCGGTCTCCCTGGTGCAGAGCAGCTTCTGAGCTGGTTAATTCACAGCTCCCTCTGACCACTGCCCACAGCTCTTCCATCTCTCTGCTCGCCATCCTCAGACTACCAGCCCTGAGTCACAAGATGCAACCAACGGTTGTACCCAGACGGACAGTGCCATTCTGCTCGTGACTCTTTATCAGTGGTGACACCTTCCCCAAAAATCACCCAGAGTGCTTCCCTAAACATCCTGCTGGCCAGTGCTTGGTCACGTGCCCAACCCAAAACGATCCCTGGTGGGGGGGGTGAAAAACAGGCCGCATTGAGGCTCTCCAACGAGGGCGAGGAGGAGAGCGGCCTGCCAGCCTGCTGCTAGGAAATGGGGTGAAGTAGGAAGCCTGGGTCAGGGCACAGTATCTGCCACCCTCGTCTGCACACGGTTCCCAGGTTCCTAACACGTGGGCTCTACCGCTGTACCTCTGGGGGCGCCCTCTGAATCCGCCAGGAGTGGGAAAAACGAGGGTATTTTCTATACGCGGCACTATTTTCAGCGTAACGGGCACTGCTGTTTGCAGCTCTCTCTGAACACGAGCGTGTGTTGGTGACAGTGCTGCACTCTGCCTTTCCATACTTCATGATGTGTTTTCAGTAAACCAGCTAAACCCAAGACAGTCTAACACTTTTTTTAAAAAAGGCATTGTTTAGCTCCTTTATTAAGCAGATCAGTAACAATAGGCATCATTATTTATAATATTTGCCAAAAACCAGTAAAGGAATAGATAAGTAGTTGTATTTTTCCAAAACTTTTTAGAAAAATTTTCAGAGTTCTTTTAAGAAAAATATAGTGAACACTCATGTGCCTTCCACTAAGTTCAACACTTGCTAAAATTTTGCTATTTTTGTTTCATCTACTAAGTATGCCTTTTTTCCTGACCCACTCCGAAGTTGCCAGGCATCAAGACAGGTCATCTCTGTATTCAGCATGCATGTCCTAGAAACAGTAACATTCATAACCACAATGATCACGCTAAAGAAAATTAACTCTAATTCCCTAATGTCATCTTGTACCCATTCCACTTTCAAATTCCTCCAATGGCCTCCAAAATATCTATGAGCTAGTCTTTTTTTTTTTTTTTTTTTTTGAGGAAGATTAGCCCTGAGCTAACATCTGCTGCCAATCCTCCTCTTTTTGCTGAGGAAGACTGGCCCTGAGCTCACATCCGTGCCCATCTTCCTCTACTTTATATGTGGGACAACTGCCACAGCATGGCTTTTGCCAAGCGGTGCCACATCCGCACCTGGGATCCGAACCGGCGACACCCCTGGCCGCCGAGGCAGAACGTGCGCACCTAACCACTGTGCCATGGGGCCGGCCCCTTGATCTAGTCTTTTTGAGCCAGATGTCTTTGAGATCCAAGCAAGGTTCATGCACTGCAGTTATCTCTTTAGTCCGTGAACTGAAAAAGTTCCCCCCTTCTCTCTCTCTCTTTAAAATGACACTGACTCTTTGAAGAGACCAGCCAGTTGTTTTGTGGAATGCCCCACATTCCGGACTTGTCTGATGGTTTTCTCCACTGAAGCTTTTCCTCTATCTCCTGTGTTTCCTGTAAACTAAAAGACTAAACATTTGATTAGATTCACATTAAATATTGTGGCAAGAACACGCCACAGTGCCACATAAGCACTTCACCCTGCATCTCCTCAAGAGACACATGAGGTCACTGCTGTTTGTGCTACCTTTGCTCACGTGGTTACAGTGGGGCTGTCAGCGGTCCCATTGCAAAGCACGCTTTTTCCAGTTTCAGTGAGTAAGATATCTGTGGGCGATACTCTGCAGAGAACTACACAAATACCGTTTCCTTTGCATCCAGTGATCTTAGCATCCGCTGACGATCTTTGCCCAGATGCACTAGGGGTTGCAAATTAGCAACTTTTCAAATTCTGTCATTCCTTCTGTTTATTGGCTGACATCTTTCTAGAACGGACAGCCTTCCCACACCTGGAGATGAACAGCTGCTCCGACTAACGGGGCACAGGGAAAACCTAATACTTTCTCTCTGATTATGGAGTAAGGAGTGTGTCTAAGACGTGCCTCCGAAGGTGGAAATGAGCTTAGCCCCCTTCTCCTTTTGTGTATTGCTGTGGACTCAGCCTTTTGTTTATTCAAATGTTACAGTCATCCTGTTTGACCATCAAATTACCTCAAATTTGGCCTGTGGGAGCTGCATCTAGCTACCTCTGTGACCTATGACACATCCCCATTAATCTTGGACTGCTTCCTTGGTTCTCGACACAGAGGTCCCAGGCTCACCGTGGACGCTTCAAGGTCCAGACCCACGGTCAGCTATTTCTCCAAGAAGTCCTGGTTCCTTGTAATAGGCAATGTTGGAGACTGAATTTGCACATCACCATGGGGGCAACATTGCTTCTAGGCCCTCTCAGTGGACAGAGCTGGAAATATAAAAATTTTTTAAAAAATAATGAGCAATATTTTCAATTCATATTTATCATTATAGGGAGTTTTACATACATTCTTTGATTTTCACTGTCTTCTTTTCTCTTAATTTGGTTCTTTCGGCGCCTAGTAACTTTAACAACAGCTTTTTGCTTTATCTACAATACACACAAAATAGCTTCAAAATAACACCAATATTATTAGCAAGAAAATTAATGAGTGATGTTTATAGTTTTTTGCAGATCTTTCTGTCCTTAGACACATCCCATTAAGGATGGACAGTCATAATACCCTGTTCAGAAGTTTCTGGAAAGGATTATTTTCTTTGTGTGGCGAAGTTACCAATTTGATATAAAGTTAAACTGACATCTCTTTTCAATTTCATAATCTACTTTTATTTTTATTTCTGAATATGTAAATCATTTACATTTGCTCAAAAGTCAAAATTTCATAAAAAGGTATAATCAAAGAAGCCTTGTTTCCATCCCTGTCTCCACCGCCCTGTCTACTCCTGCCTCCACAGGTGTTCATTTTTATTAGTTTGTACGTCTAACGCTTGTCTTGCAAAAATAAGCAATGATGTGTGTGTGTGTATACATAGACATATATATATACTTCTTTCCTCTCTTACACAAAAGGTATCATGCTCTATACGGTTTTCTGTATTTTGCTTTTCTCACTTAACATGCTGTGGTACAGTACTTCTGATTTGTCAAACATGTCACTGATGATGTACATTGTACTACCAAAACACAAACACTGGTGGCATCTAGTGTGAGAAATGTCATGATAATTATTAAGCTGTGGGGAGATATTTCCTAGTGACAACTCTTTTGACATCCACTACGTGAATCAGACATACACACACGTGTATGCTGCACACTAACATACATAAGCCTTGCTCAAGTACACTTCGTGTCTAATGCTGTCCACTTGCTGCTGCAACTTCTGTTTCCAAAGGCTTCACATTCCAACGAGTATCATTAGCATTAGATAGATGGTATGTCACATTTTCAAAACTTGGCACCACACCAGAATCATGACTTCCAGTATTACATTATTTCTAAAGAAAAAAATGTATCCACATTTCCTAAATTGATAGATTCCCCCTCATTCTTTTCTTAGATAATAAAGTTTTCTTTTTTTCTTGAAAGCTTTCGTGCATATAAAACATTTGTATCATTTCACCCCAGTATCAATCACCTGATGTCCAGTAAGTTGTGACTTTGTAAATGCTTTCGTATTTCTGTTGCATTCTTTGCATTTTCACCCTGTGATTTCTCTGAAGCATATCTTTGATTAGTAGGTGGATACTAATATACACAATGTTCTGAGATCTCTCTCCCTGTGAGTTCTCTGATACTTAGTAAGGTATGATACAGAAGGTTTTCCAATATTCATTTCCTTCATGGAGAGCCTGCCAACCCCTACCCTATGTGTGTTTTCTGATACCAACGAAAGACTGAATTTACACAGACGGAAGTCTCCACATTATGACATTCATAAGGTTTCTCCTGTGAGTTCTCTATGGTGTGACAAAATTTGACTTCACACAAGAGGATTATCCACATTTGTTGCAACTTAGGGTCTCTCGTGTGTATTACTTGACGTTTAGCGAGAGTTGACTTCATACAGAAGAATTTCCCACATCTCTTACATTCGTAAGGCTTCTCCCCTGTGTGAGTTCTCTGATGATTAATGAGGTTTGATTTCACATAAAAACTTTTCCCACATTTATTACATTCAAAGGGGTTCTTCTCTGTGTGAGTTCTCTGATGTATAGTGAGGTGTGATTTCATACAGAAGGATTTCTCACATTCATCACATGTATAGGGTTTCTCTTCTGTGTGAGTTCCCTGGTGTATGGTGAAGGCTTACTTACAACAGGAAGACTTCCCGCATTTATTACATTCATGGGGCTTCTCTCCAGTGTGTGTTCTCTGGTGTTCAATGAGGTGTGACTTCTGGCAGAAGGTTTTTCCACATCCCTTACATTCATAAGGTTTCTCCCCTGTGTGTATTCTCTGGTGTTGACTGAAGGCTGACTTCATATAGGAGGAATTCCCACATTCATTACATTTATAGGGTTTCTCTCCTGTATGAGTTCTCTGGTGTACAGTTAGGGTTAACTTATGGTGAAAGGTCTTCTGACATTCATTACATTTATAGGGTTTCTCTTCTGAATGTGTTCTCTGATGATCAGTGAGGTCTGACCTCATAGAAGAGGCTTTCCCATATTCATTACATACACAGAGTTTCCTCCCTGTGTGATTTCTCTGATGGATATTAAGTGACTTCACATAGCGTGACTTCTACATTCATTACATTTAAAGGGTTTCTCTCCAGTGTGACTTCTCCGATGTATAATTAAGGTTGATTTCCCATGGAAGGCTTTCTCACATGCATTACATTCATGTGGTTTCTCCCCTGAGAGTTTTCTGACGTTTAGTGAGGGCTGACTTTTTGTAGAAGGACTTTTCACGTTCATTGCACCTGTAGGGTTTCTCCCCCGTGTGAGTTCTCTGATGTACAATGAGGACTGAATTATAGAGAAGGATTTGCCACACGCATTACATTCATAGGGTTTCAAACCTGTGTGCATTTTCTGATGTTTAGTGAGATTTAACTTCACACAGAAGGTTTTCTCACATTCATTACATTGATAGGGCCTCTCTCCTATCAATTCTCTGATGAATTCTCTGATGGACTTTTAAGGCTGAGCGATGATGAAAAGATTTCTTGCACTCATTACATACATAAATCTTCTTTTCTGACTGTGTTCTCTGCTGATCAGTAAGGGTTGACTTCACAGGGACTTCATGACATTCATTGGGCTTCTCTCCTCTGTGAGTTCTCTGAGGGTCAGTGGGTTGTGATTTCCAGAAGTTTTCCCCACATTTGTTACTTTCTCATGGTGTCTCCCTCATGTGTGTCTTCTGATGTCGAGTGAGGTGGGAATCCTGGTGAAAAAAAGAATCTTTGCAATGACTACATTCAAAGGTTTCTCTCCTATGTAAGTTTTATGAGGTTGAGTGAGGTAGGACTTCTTGCTGAAATTATTCTCATTTTCCTTAGATTCATGGGTTTTCTCCTCCATGTTAACTTTCTGATGTTTAAAGAGGATTGGCTTCCCACACTCGACTTCAAAGTGGTTCCTCCTTGTGTGAGTTTCATGATGGGCTTTGAGTGTTGACCTGTCACTGATATTTCCCCACATTCCTCATAATCACAGGATTTCTCGCCTGTTTGAACCCTCTTAGGTGGAATGACAGCTGCCTTCTTAAGGAAGGTTCTCCACATTCATTATCTTCAAAAGGTGGTCCCAAACTTTGAATTTTCTGTTGCTCAGTAAGGTCCTCATTATGATTCAGGGATTTCCCATCTTGGTTATGTTCATCAGATTTTGTCCCAGTATTAGTATTTTCTTCATTATTATCAAGAAGCCACTTCCCACGTGTGTTAATTTCATTAGAGTTCTTACCTGAATGACTTTTATCACTAATAATTGATTCTGAAACATCTTTCAAACTCATTCCACGTTAAGTCATATTGACAGGGTGTTCTTCTGAAAATATTATTTCTCTTTTAGTCAGTGTTTTTTTGTTGATGAGTGAAACTTGCCACAAATGTTCATCTTAGTTTTCCTGGCTTCTGTCTATAGGGTCAAAAATTGAAAAAGTTAAGTATACTCTAAAAATGTTAACACATTTCCTATGTAAGTATAATTTACTGTATCACTGATACTCAATTTTCAGGTCTAAGCTCCCAGGATGAAAGCCCAAGTATATATTTCTCCTTGGCCCAGAAAAAACAAAAATAGAAAACACCTACTATAGTGGAAAAGGGAGAGTAAAACTACAATGAACACACATATATTTGCTATTTTAAAAACATGAACTTCAGGGGCCAGCCTGGTGGCACAGCAGTTAAGTTCACACGTTTTGCTTCTTGGTGGCCCGGGGTCCACCAGCTCGGATCCTGGGTGCAGACATGGCACCGCTTGTCAAGCCATGCTGTGGCAGGTGTCCCACATATAAAGTAGAGGAAGATGGGCATGGATGTGAGCTCAGGGCCAGTCTTCCTCAGCAAAAAGAGGAGGATTGGCAGCAGTTAGCTCAGGGATAATCTTCCTCAAAATAAATAAATAAATAGTCTTTAAAAAAAAAAAAACATGACCTTCAGAATTAAAAAGAGAAAAGGAAACAAACACAAGGCATAGTGAACTGAGGAAAAAGCATGATACAGACAATTGGGTGAGCCCAACAAAAGCCATGACAGGAAGCAGAGTGACAAACATCAGTATACATGGATGTCTGGAAGGAAATATCACAGGAAGTCCTGGGTGTGAGATAAAATGGATTATCGACATCTATATAGATATAGCTCACTATGTATATGCCAATGGACAAAATAAGATTTATATTAGTTTTTCCAGATATCCTTACAAAAATATACAATAAACATTTTTTTAAATATCCGGTCCCAATAACGAGTCACAAGTCTGATACAGATTCTGACACTCAGCTGGCCTCCTTCTCAGCTTTGCTTTTACTAAAAACTCAGGCGTCCTCCAGGAAATGCATCTCTCCACCTACCCTCCCTCCCTGTCTCTCTCACACACGTATTTTTTTCAAATCATCCCTCTTAAACTCCATTTTCTTGAACGTTGAAAGTAATCACTACCTATACTTTTCATTGACGCATTTTGGAAAGCATTAACTTTATCCAGATAGCACTTGATAACACTGAATTTCAAAATCTATCGTACAATTTTGTTTACCTCTCCCAACTACAACCTACGCTTTTAGCAGGTTTTATATATGGTTGGTGGCCCTCAACAAGCTGTGTGCATCAGAATTACATGGAAATTTTTATTCAAAACACAGGGTATAGATTATCATGGCCCCAGGTTAGTCTATATACGCTATGAATCAGAACCTATAGGAGTGTGATGTAGGCCTATGCACTTAGGAAATGCTTTCTGAATACATAAGCATATCTATCAGTATTAATGGATGAACATAGCTATTATATATTACACATCAAAGTAAGGAAGAGTAAAACAAGAGACCCTTCAGATGGGGACAAAAGCCTTAGGCAACACCAGATGCTCTCAGGTGTGACAGTATATGATGAAGTCTGCATTTCTTGTGGCTTAGCCACTAAGTGAAATGGGCATTCTAAGAAGGGAGAGATTAATGTTGGCTAGAGTAATTAAGAATCACTGCAAACAGAGGTAAAAACCTTAGCTAAAACATAAAATATTTGCACAAGTAAGCACAACAAGCATTAATTATATGGCAAGCATAGTCCTAAGCCCTTTCTTAGGATCTGGACAGACAAACCCCAAGAAGAGGTGATGGGGGGGAGATTTATGAGTAATATTTACGAGGCTGCATCGAATGGAACTTATGAGTTTTTGAGCAACATCAACAAAAAAGAGATGGATGTGGAATTACATGTTAGTGTTAAGAAGAGGTGTCTTAAGTAACAGAGGGCAACCCAAGGTTTATATAAGGCTAGCAACTAGAAAAAATGGATGCTTTAGGTTTAAAAACATATACTTACAATTAGGAATGAAATACAGCATCAGAGAATAAAGATCTCGTTTTGAGTGAGGTCACGGGAAGGTAAGAATAAAAGCTACAGAAGACAGTCTTCAAAGCAAAATAAAAAATAAGAGGAACTATGGAGAGATCAGTATTACGGGATTTTCATGGTTGTCAGATATGGGAGAAGAAAATGGCAGAGCGTAATTGAGTGGAAATAAGGACTGTGAGATTTACGATTGGGAAGAAATGATTTTAGGGTTTGTTTTTGCCATACTGACAATGATAGGACTGGAGACCCAGGTAAAGTGGAGAGTAGACTGCGGATGAGTCTGCGAAAGAGGCAGTGGGAATTTTTCAATCGTCGGCTAAAGCGAAAAGCTTAAATCTCAGCAATGGATGAGGCCGTGGGGGAGCATTACAGAGAAGGAACGCTGGAAGACCTACTCTTGATGAATCTTCCCAGAAGAAAGAGTGACCACGTGATCAAAACTGCTTCCCACAGTAAGGTCAATTTTTGCCAAATTTGAGGATATAAAATGCTATTTCACTGTCACGGTTTTTCTTTCTCTGATTACCATAAGTTGCAGATATTCTTATTTATCATTTGTGTTTTTGTTTCCTGTGTCTTCTTTTCACATATGTCTTTTGTCCATTTCTCTGTTGGGTCGTCTGACTTTCTCTTATTAAATTGTAGGAGTTCATTATTCAACAAACTTCTCCTGAATGCTAAAATGTGGTTGGCACTATCCTAGACAGTGGAAACAGAGACATGAAAAAAACCCAAAAACTCTGTTCTCATGAAGTTCACATTCTAGTGCGAGGAAGCAGAAATTCAGTAAAATAACTAGTGTAAAATCCCTTATTTCAACTTCTACTGGAAAAAAGCCATGAATGTATTTTAGATATTAAGCCTTTGCTGGTTATATGTATTACTTATAAATAACTCTTCTCACTTTGTGCCATGTCTTTTGAATTTTCTATGGTGCTTTGTGATGAGTGACTGTTCTTAATATAATTAATCTATATTTTTCTTCTATAAACAGTATTTTCATGCTCTTTGGGAAATCCTTTCCTAAGGACTGTACATGCATGATGATACATATATATCAAGATCATACATAGAGTCCCCTATTTCTACAGAGTTATAAACATATCCCACTACACTTTCTTATAAAGGTTTTATATATTTTACTTTTAAATTGGTTTTTGTATAATGGTGAAGGCAGAAATGTTTTTCCCCATATGGATAAATAATTTTCTCAACATCACTTATTGAATTATCTCCTCTTTGGCTGTTCTCTCACATATCTTATTTCCAGATGTGTAGGGCTGGTTCTGGGATCTTGCTTCTGTCCATTTATTTTTACACCAACATTGCACTCTTAATTACTACAGCCATGCAAGGAGCACTGACATTTGAGACGGCAAGCTCCCCAATCTAGTTTTTCTTAGCCTTCAAAAGGACTTTGGTTATTTTGGGACTTTGTTCCTCCACACAAATTTAAAATTCTGTATCTAATAATTCTAAAATTTGAAGTCCTTTATGTTTTAATTCTGCTCTGATATTCAGTCCCCACTGTTAGGCTTAGTTTTCAGTTAAACAAACCAGTACTCAAAAACAGTCTTCTCCTGTATTATATTTTACCATTTCTTGATTGAAGTTCATTTTCTAGTAGATTCTTTAAGAATTCATGAGAACAATATTTCCCTGTGTTCTTGCATATTCAAACTTATTTTATTGCTTTTACTTTGAATGACATTTTGTCTACATGTAAAATTACTGGGATTTACTTTTAGTCTCTAAGGATTTTGTAACTTTCTCCACTGCTTTCAGCACTGAATGCTATTGGGAATGTCTGAGATCGGCTTGATTTTTCCCTCTCTTTTAAAAATGACAATTCAAAGCTCTGAGGATCTAACGGTCAGCACAGTGACTATAGTCAATAACATGGTATTGTATACTTCAAAGCTGTTGAGGGTAGGTCTTAATCATCCCCACCACACACACAAAATCACCCATGTTAACTATGTAAAGTGATGGATGTGTTCATTATCTTGATCTTGGTAATCATTCTACAGTATATATGTACATCAACTCATCACATTGTACACTTTAAATATATACAATTACACTTGTCAATTATTCCTCAATAAAGTTTGAATAAATGACTTAATTCTTTGGTTCGGCAGACCAAAAAGAACCTTTCTTCAAAAATCTGTAACTTCCCTGGGATAGATCATGGTGGCGACCATTTCGAGTTAGTTGTCCATAAGTTACTCTGTCCTTTTCATGTAGATTCCGGTCTTCTTTTATATCAGGACGCTTTTCTTGAAGTACATCTTTAAATATTTCTTCTTCTCAACTAGCATTGGGTTCCTACTTTGGGGACTGAATTGTGTATGTGTGGAATCTCCTTTTTCAGTCTTCCACATACAATCCTCTTTAACTTACGTCCAGTTCGTTTTGCTCACTTTCTCTATTTTTCTCTTACAGGTCCCTTACTCTGTTTTCAGCATCCTTGTGCTCCTTCCAATTTCACACATTGTATTATTAGGATGTTCTTCCTTCCAGTCATTTCTGATCACTGGGTGCTTATGGATAATCTCCTCCTGTGGTCTCTCCGTCTCTTCCATCTCTCACCTAAGTTCTTTCAGCTCCTGTGTGCTTTTGCATCCTAAAGGCAATTGCTTTCTTAAGCTGTAAAATATTCATAGTGAAATACTTGGTCACAATATTTATCTCTTCTATGACAGTATTTTGCAGGTGAATGTTCTTCACTTACTACTTCTTTTTGACTTTTCTTTTTTTCTCTTTCTTTTTTTTCTTATGGAAGTGTCTATACATCCTACACTGGTTGCTTAGGACTAAGGACTTTACATTGAATTTAAATAGCTTTTATTTCTCCCAGAAAACCCCTGCACATTTTCACATGCAAAGTCTCTTTTATGCACAAACTGCGACAGAAACCAACACTTCATGCAGCGAAGGCTTATGTGTGTGATTCCACCCTGAACCCCACTCCTCACTTCTCAGAACCAAAGCGGGTAACAAAGACGTTCCTGCCACAATCTTGTTCAGCTCCTTCCTGACATTCTGATGAGGGTCATGCACCTCACCTTGCCTCCTCAGGTCAGCCGCCCTGGAAGTCTCTCTCTGGTTCCAGGTGCACGCACACAGCTTGATTTTGAATTGCTTTCAACAGTTCTTCCACTTATGTCATAGTTTCAAATTTAGCTATTTCTCAGATTTGTAGAAAATAGGTCTGCAACTCATTTCTCAATCTCCTAGTTGGTTTTAGATGATTTACAGGAAGAGAAGGTGAAAATGCTGACTTCCCATTTCCATTTTCAAGCCAGAAATTCCTTCCTTCTTGAAAAGCACCTTTCTTGGCCGCCAGGACATACTCTTTGGGTTTCCTTCTGTCTTACACCCGTGACTTCTAAGCGTGGTAAGGCCCTGGTTTCAGCCTCTTTTCTTATCTCTCGGCATCCACTCCCCCAAGGTGCTGTCATGACCACACACCATCTTTTAACTCATGACTTCCACATTTAACCTGCTCTCCTGTCTTCTTTCCAACTCCAGATTTGTATGTCCAAGTGCCTCATTAGATCTAAACATGAATAATTAATAATCACTGAAGCTTCTAAAAGTAACTTCTTGAAAAAGTTTTTCCCTAACTGTTCCTGCCCAATTTTCCCGTTTCTATAAGCACCTCCCACCGCCATCATCATGTTGCTCAGACTAAACACTGAGGTTGTCCTTGCCTTCTCTCTCTCTCACACTCCATATCCAAGTTAAAGGAAATCCTACTGGCTGTTCTCTCAAAACATGCAGCCGCATTTCATGACCTTGACCAGCTCAGAGTCTAAGCCCCCATCATTTCTCATCTGAGCCACTGCAAACATCTCTTCACTGTCGGGAGCTGAAACCATCAACACCCACACTGCTTACTCGCTACATTAACTTCACTACCATCCCACAGTCTTTGTCACCAGGACTTTGTTACTCCAGGAAACTCTTGCCCAGGAAGCGAAAAGATGCAAATGATTTTACTGTTCATTTCAGAAGCTTCCCCCAAAACCCTTTTAAACAAACTGCTCAGTTTTCCAGTAGATACTTAACTATTCACTCTCCAGGATTCTTCAATCCTTGTCCACAAATCGTAAACTATTAAATCATGATTTTTATCCAATGGTAATCAAACCCCTGCATTAAAAAATATACCTTAAATCATACCCTCAAATCTCATAAATAACCCAACTTTGTTCACTATCCTCCAAGATGCTACTAAGACTGTCAGGCTAAGCAAAACATTCACATCTGCCTTATCGAAGGTTGATTCCTGGGGGAGCCAGCATTCCACATTGCCTTTCTGCTTCTATGCTGGTCCACCATCTTTGCTGTCTCCAATTTTCTCAGCACAGTAGATGGAGAAATTCTTTTAAAACATATCCTTTTGCAGAAACCCATTCATCACTACCTATTTCACCCAAAATGAAGTCAAAGCCCTTCTGTGTCCTGTAAAACATCACTTGGCCTCTGTCTCCCTCTCTGATGTCACTTCCTACCAGCGTCCCTCTCAGAAACTTTCCTGCTTCCCTCCCATACTGGCCTCCCTGCTATTCCGGGAGCACTTCCAACAAACTCCTGCCACAGAACTTGGCCCCAGCTGTTCCATCTGCCTGGAACCCCCTGAATCCACATGACTCAGCTCCTCACTTCATTCAACTATCTGCTTTAATGCTGACCTCATCAACAAGGCATTCTCTGACACCCTCTAAAAGAGCACACCCCACTCTCTATCTCCTGTTAGCCCGCTTTAACTCTCTTCATCATTCTTCTCGCCACTTGACATGTAAATTTCCTTATTTACGTCTATCCCCTCCTGCTAGCTTGTAAGCTCTAAGATCTCAGGGATATTGCTGGGTTCACTGGCGTCTTCCCAACACCAAGAACATGAGTGGCACATAGCAGAATGAAATTAATTAATTAATTAATGCCTGGGGGGAAAATAAAAAGAAAATAGTCCATAAAAATGGAAGGGAAATGACTACTTGAGAAAGAGAAACCAAAAACAGAGGCAAGATGAGGCAGGCAGGGGTTCAACACTGAGTACGAGAATGGTCCACTTCCCTAAAAGTTAGGGAGAAAAGGAAACCATCTGTATTGAAGAGTGATGAACAGAAGGGCCATTCAGCTTACCTGAGGCGTGCTGGCTCGCTGTTCAGTTGCTTCCAGAGGTCTGAGGGACCTAAATAGAATTACTGAGACACAGAGCAAAGGTCCTAACCTCAGCACCAACTCACCTGGGATTTCCACTAGCTTCTTGTTTTTGCCTGCTAATGACGAACTCACCTGGATCACCCTGGTCTGGGAATTCTCCCTCTAATGGTCATGGCTCTTCTCTTTGCTCCAACTTGAAGACCACTTCTGATTTGGTGATGCGATACCTTGTGAGTGAGATACGGGGTGACACTTCTGACAAGCTACTGGACATCAGGGCCCCTGAAGAATGAGGAAGGTACAGCTTCAGGAGTCACACGATAAAGGTGCCCACTGAACCTTTCACTAAGGAGGTGAGAACACACACATTCTTTCTGTGCCCCGTGGGAACAATCATCTTTGACCCATGAGATGTACACACAAATATCATTAAACTCCACCAAAAGCCCATAAATTTTGGCAGCTAAGAAGTAAGAAAAGAAATGCATGCTGTGAGGCATTACACAGGGAACACTCCTCACGTACTGAGACCAAGTGGCTGTAGTCCTCCAGCATCACGTCCGGGTACAGAGTCCTCTGCATAAGGGTCAGTTGTAGCCACTCATCCTGCGTGATGTCCACAGTCACATCCTCAAATGACACAGATCCATGACCAGCACATTTCTGCTCATGCCAAAGAGATCAGTATTGGGTGACATGAAAGAGATACATGGGAAATAATTCCTAACATCTTTATTTTGAGAGTTTAGCATAAATATTATATAGGTTCCCTATTCTATGCCTTCTTTTGTGTTTTACTTTGTGGAATAAAGTGATATCATGATAGAAAAACCCAGACAATGCATTAACTTATTACTTGAAACAAAAAATATTAAAGTTCCTACCATGTGTCGGAAACTATCCTAGATTGCCAGGAATATTAAACTAAATCAATCCTTTTTTTGTCTCTGGAAGGAAGTTAAATCCTAGTAAGGAGACAAATGATATTTATAAACATTTATTCTCCAATAAGGTCTTATGAGAGCTATGCCAGAATCAGTTATAATCAGTGTCAAATAACTACGGAAGATATGGTTCTATTTCGTACGGTTGGGTCGGGCCTCACTGAACAGTAGGTCTTCATTAACGTGGCACCATCACACGAGCAAAGTCAAAGAGGCATGAGAAACACACAGCAGCGTAACAGGAGAACGGGGCTTAGGGCTGTGAGAAGATGAAGAGCTGCAAAGTATTCAGGAAAACATTACGGAGTAACTCTGGACTTAGTCCTGTCGTTTAGTGGTCATCAAAATACTTCACCACCACCCTAGCAATAAAGATTTGGGCACCCCCAATTTATCTATTTTTTCAATAAATAATATATACATCCTGCTAATCCACACAATAATGGCGAGCGCAATTTGTCTCTTTTTCTTCCAATTAAAAGTTAATCATGCCACAACTAGAAGGACCCACCACTAAAAATATACAACTATGTACTGGGGGGATTTGGGGAGAAAAAGCAGAAAAAAAAAGTTAAATGTAGACAACCTATTGCTTTCTTCCCATGGGAGAAGAAAACACTGGAGTACCTGTGCCCGCCACAGGTGTGGGTGTGACTACTGGAGACAACAAGGAGCCATGAGGTCATGCAGCCATCGCCATCACAGCCATCATGGTGACATTAAAAACAAGACAGATCTCAAATCAACAACCTAACTTTACAACTTAAAGAAAGAGAAAAAGAAGAACAAAGTAAACCCAAACTTAGCAGAAGGAAGAAAATAATGAAGATTAGAGCAGAAATAAACAAAATAGAAAATGGAAAAGTAACAGAGAATATGAGACCAAAAGCTGGTTTTTTGAAAAGATGGACAAAATTGACAAACCTTTACCTAGATGGACTAAGAAAAAAAGAGAGGAGACTCAAATTACTAAAATCAGAAATGAAATAAAGACCTTATGACTGATTCTGCTGAAATTAAAAAACAAAATTATGAGAGTACTTGGAACTGTAGGCCAACAAATTGGATAACCAATGGACAAATTCCTAGAAACACAAAACCTTACCATGACTAAATCATGTAACTAACAGACAATCTGAATAGACCTATAATTAATAAGGAGATTGCATAAATAATCAAAAACATCCCAACAAATAAAAGTCCTGGACATGATGGATTCACTGGGTCATTCTACCAAACATTTAAAGATGAGCTAAAACCAATCCATCTCAAACTTTTCCAAAAATTGAAGAGGAGCAAACACTTCCTAACTCATTCTATGAGGCCAGCATTACCCTGACACCAAAGCCAGAAAAAGACGCCACAAGAAAACTAGAGACCAATATCCCTAATGAACATTGATGCAAAAATAATCGACAAAATACTAGCAAACCAAATTCAGCAGCATATTAAAAGGATTATACACCACGACCAAGTGGAATGAAGGATGTCAAAATATGAAAATTGAGGGGGCCGGCTCCGTGGCCGAGTGGTTAAGTTCGCGTGCTCCGCTGCGGTGGCCCAGGGTTCGGATCCTGGGCGCGGACATGGCACCGCTTGTCAGGCCACGTTGAGGCGGCGTACCACATATCCCACAACTAGAGGGATGTGCAACTAAGATATACAACTGTGTATGGGGAGGGGTTGGGGAGATAAAGCAGGAAAAAAAAAAAAAAAAGATTGGCAATAGTTGTTAGCCCAGGTGCCAATCTTTAAAAAATATATATATATATATATGAAAATTGATCAACATAATACACCACATTAACAGAATAAAGAACAAAAAAAATAAAGATCATCTCAATTGATGCAGAAAAAGCATCTGACAAAATTCAATACCCATTCATGATAAGGACACTCAACAAACTATGAATGGTAGGAAACTACTTCAACATAATAAAAGGCATCTATGAAAAACCCACAGCAAACATCATACTCAATGGTGAAGACTGAAAACTTCTCCTCTAAGATCAAGCACAGGACAAGGATGCCCACTTTTGCCACTTCTATTCAGCACAGAATTGGAAGTCCCAGCCAGAGCAATATGCAAGAAAAAATTTTTAAAACATTCAAATTGGAAAGCAAGGAGTAAAATTATATCTGTTCGCAAATGATATGATCTTATATGCAGAAAACCCTAGAGAGTCCACAAAAAAACTGTCAGAGCTAATAAATGAATTCAGCAGAGTAGCAGGATAAAAAATCTACATACAAAAAAACTGTTGCATTTCTATACACTAACAATTAATTTGAAAAGGAAATTAAAAAACAATCCCATTTACAATAGCATCAAAAAGAATAAAATACTGGCCAGCCTGGTGGCATAGTGGTTAAGTTCACACATGCTGCTTTGGCGGCCCAGAGTTCATGGGTTTAGATCCCGGGTGCAGACCTACACACCACTCACCAAGCCATGCCGTAGCAGCGTCCCACATACAAAATAGAGGAAGATGGGCACAGACGTTACTCAGAAACAATATTCCTCAAGAAAAAAGAGGAAGATTGGCAACAGATGTTAGCTCAGGGCCAATCTTCTTCACCAAAAATAAATAAATAAACCATCTTATTAAAAAAAAGGAATAAAATACTTAATAATTAACAAAGGAAGTGAAAGACTTGTACAATAAAAACTACAAAACATTGCAGAAAGAAATTAAAGACATGACTAATTGGGAACCCCATGTTCATGGATTGGAAGGCCTAACATTGCAGAGATGCCAGTACCACCCAGAGAAATCTACAGATCCAATGCAATCCCTATCAAAATCCCGAAGACGATTTTTACAGAAATAAGGAAAAGCCATCCGAAAGTGCATATGGAATCTCAAAGGACCCCAAACACCCAAAACAACCTTGAAAAAGCAGAACAGAGCTGGAGGACTCACACTTCCTGATTAGGAAACTTATTACAAAGCTACAGTAATCAAAACAGTGTGGCACGGGCATAAAGACAGACACACAGACCAATGGAACAGAACAGAGCGCCCAGAAATAAACCCTCACATATATGGTAAAACGATTTTTGACAAGAGTGCCAAGACCATTCAACGGGGAAAGGACAGTCTTCTCAACAAACAGGGCTGGGCACATGGATCTCCACAGGCAGAAGAATGAAGCTGGACCCTTACTTAACACCATACGCAGAAATTCACTCAAAATGGAGCAAAGACCTAAATGTAAGACTTAGAACTACAAAGCTCTTAGAAAAAAACATAGGGCAAAAGCTTTGTGCTACTGGATCTGGCTGATTTCTTGGATGTGACATCAAAGGCACAGGCAACAAAAGAAAAAATAGACAAATTGGACTTCCTGAAAATTAAAAATTTTGTACATCAAAAGACACTATCAACAGAGTGAAATGCAACCCACAAAATGGGAGAAAATACTTGCAAATCATACATCTGATAAGGGATTAATATCCAGAACATATAGAGAACTCCTAAAACTACACAACAACAAAAAGAAGCCCCAAACATCCAACTGGAAAATGGGCAGGGCCGACCCAGTGGCGCAGCCGTTAGGTTCACACATTCTGCTTCTTGGCGGCCCACAGTTCGCCGGTTCGGATCCCAGGTGCGGACATGTCACCACTTCGCAAGCCATGCTGTGGTAGGCGTCCCACGTATAAAGTAGAGGAAGATGGGCACGGATGTTAGCTCTGGGCTAGTCTTCCTCAGCAAAAAGAGGATTGGCAGTAGTTAGCTCAGGGCTAATCTTCCTCAAAAAAAAAAAAAAAAAGACAAAAGAAAAATGGGCAAAGGGGGCTGACCCCATGGCCGAGTGGTTAAGTTCACGTGCTCCGCTTTGGTGGCCCAGGGTTTGCTGGTTCGGATCCTGAGCACGGACATGGCATTGCTCATCAAACCATGCTGTGGCAGCATCCCACATAGAAGAACTAGAATGACGTCTACAACTATGTACTAGGGCTTTGGGGAGGAAAAAAAAAGGAGGAAGATGGCAACAGGTATTAGCTCAGAGCCAATCTTCCTTACCAAAAAAAAAGGGGGGGAATACTTAAAAAAAAAATGGGCAAAGGACTTGAAGAGACATTTCTCCAAAGAAGATATACAAATGGCCAATAAGCACATGAAAAGATGCTTGACATCACTGATCATTAGGCAAATGCAACTTAAAACTACAATGAGATACCACCCCACACACATTATGATGGCTACTATAAAAACACACACACACACACACACACACACACAAAATAACATAGTGTTGGTGGGGATGTGGAGAAACTGGAATCCTTGTGCACTGTTGGTGGGGATGTGAAATGGGACAGCCACTATGGAAAAGAGTGTGGTAGTTCCTCAAAAAATTAAAAACAGGGGGCTGGCCCCGTGGCCGAGGGGTCAAGTTCACACACTCCACTTCGGCAGCCAGGGTTTTGCCAGTTTAGATCCTGGGCACAGACATGGCACCATTCATCAAGCCATGCTGAGGTGGCGTCCCACATAGCACAACTAGAAGGACCTACAACTAGAATATACAACTATGTACTGGGGGGCTTTGGGGAGAAAGGAAAAAAAAGGAAGATCGGCAATAGATGTTAGCTCAGGTGCCAATCTTAAAAAAATAAATAAATAAAAACAGAATTACCATATGACCCAGCAATTCCACTTCTGGGTATATACCCAAAAAACCCCTGAAAGCAGGGTCTCAGAGAAGTATCTG